AAATAACTACTTAATTACTTAAGTTGTTGACAAGTTTAGAGTAACTTAAATGCCCATAAACTTTAAGTACAATCTCAATTATTTTAAAATTTATAAATACTTGAACTCAAATTTAAGCTCCAGCACATATATATACTTGACTCGAGTAGTTAACGACCCTATGCACGAGCGGGACTAAAGGGTAAGCCCTTCCTTTGTGTCTCTAGTCATCTCCAATCTCATCATCTCTGGCTTCCTCTCTTCTCCAATCTCTTCTCGTTTAGCACATCAGAAGTAGTAGGACAGATCCGCAATCCTCCTCTCTTTCTCTCAATCACCAGCCTTTCCTGGACATGCCTTTCCCTCTTTCGGCTTTACTAGTCTTCTGCCCTACCTCAATCCAATTCTAATTTTCTTGATTAGAATGTTTAGATTCACCTAGTTATTCTAATTAAAGGCTAACTAACATGATTAATTATTAAATTAATTTTAATTAATTCATAATCAATTATTCCACTAAATTTTAGTTAATTAGTCCCAATTATATTTAATTTGAATAATCATGATTAAAGAAGAGAAAGGCCAATAATTTAATTTTAATTTTAATTTTGTCCACATATTTCTAAGAACAAGCAATTTGGTCCAGAATTTTTACATATTTGACATTTGGTCTTCCATCCTTGTCACACCCCGAACCCAAATCCGGGGACGTGGCAGACGCCATACACTTGTGAGATGATCCCACAAATGCATAAGGCTCGAAACTTATTCAATTCACATCTGACAATCCAATAACTTAAATCAAATATTTCAAAATAATTCTATGTCCAACATGACTTAAGCTCAAAATCTCAAGGTCAAATCTCTTGTAAACTAACAATCCATTTAATGAATTTATAAAATCTCCAATTAAAATCTAGCTTACAAGATCATGATTTATATCTAAAATCCATGTTCAATTTACAAGATGGCTAGCCTTCTAACTCGTCACTCCCCTCGTTTTTCCCCGTCCTTGACTTTGCTTTCGAAAATGGTGGATAAGGAAAAACTATGAGATAACTCAATAAGTAAATATGAATAGCCCTTGGGTAAAACTTTTAGCATGCCTGATAAACAATTTAACATAATAAAACGTTCAATGATAAACCGTTAATGCAGAATCAAATTTAGCTCAATAGCAAAGCGTTCAATGACAAACCATTAATGCAAAATCAAATTCAATTCAATAACAAAGCGTTCAATGACAAACCATTAATACAGAAGAAAATTCAGTAGTAGTCTCATCTATAAGTCATGGCCAGTGTTTAACAAACTCCCACTGGCAAGCGTCAGTAATAACCAATGTATTCGCCCATTGGCAGGCGTCAGTACTTACCGGTGTTTAACAAACTCCCATTGGCAGGCATCAGTAATTACCAATGTATTATCCCATTGGCAGGATTACAAAATGAACCAGTCATATCAGTAAACATGTTGGCATGTGCCAGCGTTTACAAACTCCCACTGACGAGCGTCAATAATCGTGACTATATAAAAGACAAAACCATGCAGAATTTACAAAAAAATCTGTAATTCACAATCAATCTCAAATTTCAAAAATTAAGTGGAAAATTTTCATGTGAACATAGATTTAACAGAAAAACTCAGAATTTACAAAATTCGTAGTTCATCAAGGCAGTTCAATCAATTCCAAATAGGCATGCTCTATTCAATGCAAATGAAAACAATTTCATTTCAAACCAATCATGCTCGGTGCAAATAAATCAATTTCAACCTTGCCACCATCTCAAAAACAATTTAAAATATGCTTTGAAATCGAAGTACGTTACCATAATTTACTTACCTCAATCGCATAAACTGAGGACTCAATCCCAGTGCTCTAAGCCATAATAGCACCTAATATTCCAAATAAATACATTCAGACTTTGCTTCAATTATTAGCACAACCTTGCAAATTTACTAACCAATAAGCTTCACACAAAATTCAACCATATGACCAAACATCTCAATTTTATTCTCAATATAACTACACGTTTAAACCCTCCTATTATTGGCCATTAGTGCGTGAACAGTACCAATGAACAGTACTCACGCAGTGAACAGTAACTGTAACTTCAAAAAATTTGGCAAAACAATAGCTAATTCACGGGATTTTTTTTCCAAAATCACAACAGCCTAAATCAAGCTAATTTACACTTAAACCAAGCTTAAAAACATAGCTTAAGCTACCAAAATTTCCCCATTTCTCACGGGCAGCACATGGAGAGCATGGCTTTGGCAAACCACAACTCACACACACGGGATTTTCTCTCCAAAACATCACAACAGCCTACTTAAACTAACTTCTACATGAATGAAGCAAAATCATGGTCCCATTTACTGCCAAATCCCCTCCTATTCCCAGCAGAAAATTCGGACAACACAAGAGGTAGCAACTAACGGGTTCCTTCAACAATACACAGAAAATTGCAACAACACAGGGCAGCAATTAATGGATTAAAAATCCAGAATGGGAGAGCTGCTACCTACCCGAATTTCAGGCCAGCAAATCGGGTCTGGCGAGCTTGGCAGTCGACGGGAGTTGGAGGGGAAGCTCACGGGGCTACCAAAATTTGAAGAAACAACAGATTTAAAATGAACCCAAGCCAAATCAAGCTGAAAAGATGAAGTTCATGGCTGTGGCTTACCGGAAAAAGCCCAGAAATTCGTGCCTAGCAGCACTGGCGGACAGGGGAGGAAGAGTAGAACAGATCTGGAATTTCTGGGTTGAGAGAGAGAATTCTAAGCCCCAAATCTTGTGATTGAACAAGAAAGAAGGAGGAAATTCAAGCTTTGCCACCAATTTTCTCAAAGAAATGAGTTGGTGGCTAGAGGAGCTTAGGGGGCTGTCGGGGAGAAGAAGAAAAGCAGGTCGTACCGTCGTAGGCCTAATGAGGAAGAAAAGAAAGAAAGAAAAAAGAAAAAGAAAAAGCAGCTGATCCTTATCTCATTTTCTTTCTTTTTAAGTCCCTCAACTTTGGAGTTTTTAGCTATTAGGCCCCAAAACAATATTTCTCCCAAAATAAGTCCCCTAACTTAATTGATAAAATTCCCAAAATTTTGGGATATTATAATCCTAAATTGATCAAATTGGTCCCTCACTTTTAACTTGTTGTGTTTGTGGTTGCTTGTTTCTTATTTTGTTCAATTGTGTTCAAAAAGTTTTTCTAAAGTTGCAATATTGTCTATTTACCTTCAAGTTTATTTAATTAAAGCCAAAAAACAATAAACAAGTTGAATAAATTGTTAATGTTAAAGTATGCAATAATGTTTTAATTACAATAAGGATTATGAGATACCAATATGCCATTCATTTCTCTTAACTGTATCCTTGCACCTTGGACCTTGATTATGCACAAATTATGTTTTAGGTGATTTATCCAACCTTATAATTTGGACAAGTAGCAAATCCTTATTTTTTTTCCAATTTTTTTTATACTTAATTTTCATTTTTTGAATTGTAAGTGATCACCAATAAGCAACACACTTAATTAACTTTAATGTGGAAAACGTCTAATGATTTTCCTAGGTATTTTTTTAACCGATTTGTGTAGGAAAGCATCCTTATTTCCTACCAATTGTCTAATCTAGGATGCATCTCTTTATTTAATTGACGTCCTTTCAGGCATCCAACTCGAAGATAAATTGCTTGGAAGAAAAAAGATTGTCAAGAAAGACCTTTCCTTACTTTTGTTACAAAGCAAGCGCACTTGAGCACATTTGCCACACAACCATTGTTGTCAAAATCTAAAGAACTAGTTGGAATTCTTAG